AATTCTGTGTACGTATGTACAATTTAATTTAGTAAGAACATTACCACAACCTTTCAAGCTCCCAATTTTATCCTGTTCCTTGGTTTATCCTGTATGCTCCCCTATTGGTGTATAATGACTATCTTGAATTTCATGTTTATTATTCTTTTATAATAACATGAGACATAACGTTATTATATAATAACATAACAACATGTCTTTATAATTTCCCACGTATGCATATATCCCTGTATTAGCTATCTATTGCTGCAGAACAGATTACCCCCAAATTTAGCAGCTTAAATTTATAAACATTTATTACCTCATACAGTTTTTAAGGGTCAGGAATCCAGCTTAATAATCCAGCTTAATACAGTTTCTGGCTCAGGGTCTCAAATAAGATTGTAGTCAAACTGTCAGCTGTTGGCATCTGAAGGCTAGACTGGGGTAGGATCCTCACTTGACTGCTGGGAATCTTCATATCCTCACCACACGGGGGCCACTACATAGGGCTGCTCACAAGACCGGCAGCTGGCTACTTGCACAGTGAATGATGAGAGAGACAGACAGACAGACAGACAGAGACAGACAGACAGACAGACAGACAGACAGACAGAGGTATAACCTAGTCTTGGAAGAGACAGATCATCATCTCTGCCATTTGTTATCAGTCATACACAACTCTGGTAACAATGTGGGAGGCAATTACACAAGGGCATGAATACCAGCAGGCAGGGCTCTTTGGGGGCCATCTCGGAAAAGGCTGCTACCACAAATCCTCAACAGATGTTGCTTAGTTTTGCCTGTTTTCAAACTATAAAAAAATGAAATCGGACTGCATTATTTTTTGCAATTTTTTTCATGCAATACGTTTCCGAGATCTTTCATACTCTGTGTAGCTAAGTTCACTTATTTTCTCACTGTATCCTATTACTGTGTATGAACAAATAGTAATTTATTGAATCATTTTGTTATAATGGACAGTAGGGTAGTTTCCCAATTTTTGCTATTCCAAGTAGTAAGGCTATAACATTCTTATACTTGTGTTTTGCACATATACAAGAGTTATTTCGGGGCATATATCAAATAATAGAATTGTTGGGTCATAGATCATGGATATCTTCAACTTGACTAGGTAACAATAAATTTTTTCTCTAAAGTTATTTCACATTCTCCAACCACCCTTGATTTGATCAGAAGTTCTAGTTTTGCCATTCTAGAGGTATGAGATGGCATCTCACTGAGGTTTTAATTTGCATTTTCCCTAGTGAGGTAGAGCATCTTTTCAGTTTAATGACCACTCTGGTTCTGTTTCTCTTTAGCATCTGTGCGAGGGGGTTCTCCATTTTTATTTTGTCTTTATCATATTGATTTTCCACTCTTTTTCCTATGCATAGCATTATTTAGAATTGAGATCATGTCACACATCTACTTTTGTATACTTTTATTTCCACTTAACATTATACCATAAGCATTTTCTCATCACCTAAATCTCAGCAAACAAGTTTTTAAAACACTGTTTTCCAATTTTAAAAATATAGTCATGTTTAGATAATACAGAAAAATATAAAAAATAAAATAAAATCATCCATAATCTTACTACCCAGCAATAACCACCTTTTTGCATTCTGCTATAATTCCTTCTTCTATATTTTGCATGTAATATACATTTTTTTTATAAATTACAATAATTCTCAGTATAGTTTTGTAACCTATTTTTTACAAAGTGTTATGTTTTGAGCATTTTCCCACATCATTAAATATTCCTCAATTACAATTTTAATGTGTGGATTTAACTCCAATAAAACATCATCCTGTTTATTGAACTTCTCAGTTTTAATTTTTCTCTCCTATGTTATAAGTAACTTCGCATAAACATCTATGTTAAAGATAAATATTTAGCTGCATTCACTACTTTAGATTCCAGTCAAACATCATTTATCAATGATCTTTCAAAAGCTGTTTTCAAGGCTCTTGATTAATATTGCAAAGTTCCTTTTCCAAAAGACTCTGTTTACCTTTCCAAAATATAAACCTCTGCCTAGCCTGTTTAAAAAGCGTGGCTGGCTCCTCCAGTGCCTATTTAGTGTCCTGCACACTTGGATACACACTTACAGTCAGTTTCCTCTACCACCACATCCCTCTTAACCATCCCAGTTTATCTCTAGAACACATCATGGGCTCCCACGTTTAATCTCCATGCTTATTCTCATGCAGGATGTTCCAACTAAAATGTCCCTTCTTTTCTCTCCTAGGCAAAATCCTATTCTCCTTTTAAGAGCCAGTTCAATGAATCCCATGTCTCTGGGCAGAAATGATATGCCCTCTGCTGGGCTCCCAAAACACATTGTAGACTTTCATAATGTTAATTTTCACATTGAAATAATCATGACACCAAGGTTTTTAAAAATGAAAGCAGATCATGTCCTTCCCTAGTTTAAAACCTTTCCACGAAACATGATAGAAAGTTCAAAAATTGAATCAAATACACTTGGGAATGTAGATTATAATAATGGGGACATTTCAAATGAGTTGGAAAAAGATGGTAATACTGGGTAGCTATTTGGAAAAATTTCTTGGATTCCTGCCTCACACCTTACACCAAAGTGGATTTATAACAGAATGAAAATTAAAATCTAAAATATAAAACCATATAAAAGCTAGAAGAAAACAATTATTTTTATAATATTGAACTAGAAAAGGTCTTCCTAAGAATAACATAGAATCCAGAAACCACAAAGGAAAAGATTGATAAATTAAAATACATAAAAAATTTAAAAACTCCATGGTAATAAATAATAAACTGGAAAATATTTACAACTTATATGTATAGAAAAGGATAAAAATTCCTATAAATCCATGAGAAAAAAAGTTCAAGAGAAAGACCAGCTGAAAAAAGGGCAAACGAAATGAATTTACCACAGCAAGACCCCCCCAAAAAGGACTCATTGATATGAAAAATTGCTCAACTTCACTCTTACTAAAAAATAAATAAAAAATAAAAGTGCCTCTCGGTTTTCATCTATATAATTGGCAAGGAGAAAAAGGTTTGATAATACCTTGTGTAGTTCAAGATGTGAGGAAATAAGCACTCTCACACTTTTATTGATGGGAGGACAAACTGGTACTACTGCCATGGAGAGCGCTTTGCCAATATCCATTAAAACAAACCAAAAGTAAATCCATATACTCATTTACCGATAATTCCACTTCCAGGAATTTACCTAACAGATAAACTCCCACATATGTAAAATAACAAATGGATAAGTTACAGTATTATTTGTCATAGGAGAGGATTGGAAACCACCTAAGTGTTCCAAAACAGGGGACCGGGCAAGTAAATTATGGCATGTCTTTATAAGTTTGTTGTGTGGTCATTTAAAAATTTGAGGTAGATGCAAAATGTAGAGCTCAGTAAAAAAAGCAATATGTAGAAGCATTTATAGAAAGCTACCCTTTGTGTACATACAAATTTCCTTATGAATATAGCGACCGTCTCTGAAAGACTACAAATGAAGGGATTTAAGAGTGATGATGACCTCTGTGAGGGGGGCTGGGAACTGAAAAGCAGGGTGGGAAAAGGACTTACTTTTTAATTCTACACTCTTTGGTATGTTTTTAACATTCGGTGTTCTTATTAACCTATTTTCTGATCAATAAGTTCACACAAAATAAAACCCTTTTCAATATTTTTTCTCAAGTCCAATTCACTCCCACGGGCAACTTTCCAACCTCCTTTTGCACCACATTTGCCCTCCCTCACTATCTTCCAGTAACATTGCTTTTCCTTCAGTTTCTGGAACATGTCAAGATCTTCCTGCCTCGGGACATTTTGCGCAAGCTGTGCCCTCTGCCTAGGTAGATATTCTCTAGACTCTTCTGGTGGGTTGGCATTTTCTTATACGTCAGGTCTTGAGTTCTATAACATCTCTTCAAAGAGGACATCGCTGGCCACCCTACATAAACAATTGTTGAATAAATGCCTCTCTCTCTCTCTCACAAGGCAGGGAGGGCAGGGCTTACTTCCCTGACCACCCAATCTAAAGTGGCACCTCTGCCTTCACTCTCTTTATGACAATACCCTGATTTACCTTCTTCATAGCACCAGTCACAATTTGAACTTACCTTGTTTGTATATTTTCTTAGTTGTTTACTGTCTCTCTGCATCTCAAAGGTTAAGTCTCCATGAAAGCAGGGACTATGTCTTGTCTTGTTCTCAACTCTATCTTCAGCAACCCAAACAATTTGATGAATGAATTTATACAGCATATACTATGGACCATAAACTGTTCTTTGGACTTTACAAATAACTCCTTTATTCCTCACAACTACTGAGGGAGATTTTTATCCCTTTTACAGGTAACGTGAAGCACGGAAGTTGACCAACCGGCAGAATTGGAACCCCAAACACAACGTTCTTGGCCACAACGCGACGCTTTTTCGATATATAAGCTGATATAAAACTGACTAAAACTGAATGGATGGAAATGTTAATGTAAACGTTATTTTTGCGTCTCGGGATTTCCGAGCTCTACCGGAAGGGGGCGCTCTCTCCCAGATCTTGACGCCAGCCCTCAAGGCGCGCACTCCCTTTGCGTCTCGGGCTCGCGCGCGCTGTCGCGGCACCGGAAGTGACTGAGCTTGCAAGTTCCCCCGGTCTCTTCAGGGGAAACTGAGGCCCACTCGTTCGGAAGAGACAGCGCGAGCCACCAGCAAGGTAGGCCGGCCCGAGTCTGCTGCGCGGAACTCGGCCGCGAAGAGCCCTCGCGTCTGGAAACAACCTGGCCGACGAAGGGGGAATGTGGCCCCCCACGACTCGCGGGGCTCGCAGGTGAGCGCGCCGCCTCCTCTGTGTGTGGCAGGCGTTGCACCCAATGGGAGCCCTCGCCGTCCCGATTTCGTGCCGACTGGGCTCTCTTATTGGCTATACCGGGGCGGGCCGCCGGGGGCGAGACCCCTCCTTCCAGAAAGGTCTAAGGGGCGCCCCTGAGGGAGAGCGGTTGCCTAGCAACAGGGCGGTGGCCAGGCGGGTACCCGGCCCCGCGCGCCAGAGAAGCCGTGAGGCCGCAGCCCACCCACCCCGGGCTCCGGAGAGGTGCAGCCCCCGGCCCCCAAGCCCTCCCGGGGGCACCAGGAAGCCGCCTCAGGCCTGGCCCCAGGAAAACGTGGTCTCAGCTGGGGGTGCCCTCGAGCAGGCTTCGACCCTTTTCCCTTATCGGAGGAGAGGCCCAGCGCCTCACTCTCACCCCGTCTTTGTGCAGGGCGCCGGCGGCCATTGTGTCCGTGCGGGGAATGGAGGACCCGGCAATCCCCCCCCACCGCCGCCGCGTCCAGGGCCTTTGGGGAATTCAAAGAATCCCAGCGGCGTTTCTAAGGGGTGCCCGCCCTTCAGCTTCCCGGAAAGGCCCGCGGATGGCCTTTCCGAAGTCAGACCGCAGATCCGAGGCAGTTTCCCCTTCCCTCCATCCCTCATCGAAACGTTGAGTCCCATTGAGAAGTCCCTTCAGGGTTTCAGAAGCCTCACCCTGGGCGGGTACTTAAATAGAATAAAACAAACAAACAAAAAACAAAAAGAAAACCTAAGCCCCACACAGCCACCTCTGGGAGAGTTCTCCTGGCTCCCAGTAGGAGGCGGAGGAAGAGCCAAGGAGCGTGCAAGAGCGAGGGGGCTGGGCTCGTTCTGGGCGATGGAGGAGGAAGCTAGCGAGGCGGCCGGTTCCTGAGCTTCGTAATTCCTGTGTCGCCTTCTGGGCTCCCAGCCTGCCGGGTCGCATGATCCCTCCAGCCGGAGCTGGTTTATTTGCCAGCCGCCGCGAGGTCGGTTGAGTTACCGGCATCCGGGCTGCCACCTCCTCTCCCGACCTATGATACAAAAGATCTTTAGGGACTGCACCTGCCTGCCGTCGCCTGAGACAGATTTGAATGTAGGTGGTGCGGGGGTGGAAATGGGGGCAGACTGCCCATGGGGATGACTTTCCGAGGAAGATATTTAGGAGAAAATGGGGTGGCTGGGGTAAAAGAGGTCGGTGTGATGATTCAGAGCCCACTCGTGCTTTTAATTTGACTTCATTGAAGTCTCTGGGAAGCTAGACCCACACCTTCATAACAGTCACAAAGAAACCAGTTCTCAGACCTGGAGGTGTAACGTACCTGGAGGGGTTGTAGGTTAAATGGTATGCATATTAACTTTTTTTTTTCCTGAAGCTCTTTCTCTCCCTTCAGAACCTTATCTTGGCTTTGGATCTTAGAAGACAAGCACTAAGCAGAGACCAGACTCAGTGAGTGAGCAGGTATTTTGGACAATGGACTGGTTGAGCCCATCCTTATTATAAAAATGTCTCAGAGCAACCGGGAGCTGGTGGTTGACTTTCTCTCCTACAAGCTTTCCCAGAAAGGATACAGCTGGAGTCAGTTCAGTGATGTGGAAGAGAACAGAACTGAGGCCCCAGAAGGAACTGAATCAGAGATGGAGCCCCCCAGTGCCGTCAATGGCAACCCATCCTGGCACCTGGCGGACAGCCCCGCAGTGAATGGAGCCACTGGCCACAGCAGCAGCTTGGATGCCCGGGAGGTGATCCCCATGGCAGCAGTGAAACAAGCACTGAGGGAGGCAGGTGATGAGTTTGAACTGAGGTACCGGCGGGCATTCAGCGACCTGACATCCCAGCTCCACATCACCCCAGGGACAGCATATCAGAGCTTTGAGCAGGTAGTGAATGAACTCTTCCGGGATGGGGTGAACTGGGGTCGCATTGTGGCCTTTTTCTCCTTCGGTGGGGCACTGTGCGTGGAAAGCGTAGACAAGGAGATGCAGGTTTTGGTGAGTCGGATTGCAACTTGGATGGCTACTTACCTGAATGACCACCTAGAGCCTTGGATCCAGGAGAACGGCGGCTGGGTAAGGACCACACCCCTTGTGTGTCCCTTTTCCTCGACCTCTGGTCAGAGAGACCCCCAACAGCCTTTCCTCATATCTTTTTCTGTTGTGTTGGGTGATTATTGGACATGTTTAAGGAGACGTGACTAGCCTCATTGCACCATAGAGGTTAGCTGTTCTGAAATACAGATGACCTAGTTCTTAAAGAACCAGGCATCTTTCATTCTGGTCACCCTCATGACCCCACTCTTTGATACTTGTGTTCCGGTTTCTCAGCAGAGGAAAACAGCCTGTGTGTTAATTTGGCCCAAAACCCTTGAGAGTGGGAAGTTAGCCAGTGTTCCCCTCACCCTGACATAATGGCTCACTATGTAAAAAGGTGATGAGTATAATGCGTGGAGAAAATGATAAGTATCAGTGACCCACAAGCTCTTCCATTCTTATTCCCCCAGGGATGTCGATTCTTCCCTGGGCTTCCCTCTTCCACATTAAGTTCTCTTTATTTCAGGGTTTGCATATCTGACATTCTCAGAAAAGAGCATGGTCAGGCAGGATTTCCTATTGGCTTGGATGTCTGAGAGTTGTCTGATTTTAGGGCAGGGGCCGGTTGTGTTTATGCTGCACCCTTATGTTCATTTGCTCTAAAGTGTGTGCAACTTTTGCATGGTTGGCCTGTTCGTGGATCTCTTGCTGTGTCACGCATTAAGCCCTGGACTTTGTACCTCATTGCCTGGGGTCTGTTGGTGAGCTCCTGCTGTTCTGCCTGTTGCTTTCCGGCCAGGGCCCTGGAGCCTCTTCACTGAACACTGTTTGCAGGCAAAGCAAGAACCCAGTCTGTGGGGCTCTGTGGGACATCGAGATTTAGTGACTGACTTTGGCATCAAACTGACTTGGGTGTGAGTCCCAGCGCCGTCACTTAACTACTAGCTCTGTGACCGTGGACAGACCAGTTTATCTAGAGCCTCAGTTTCTTTCATGAAAAAGATGTGGCAAGCCCTCCTTGCCTTGCAGGGCATTGTAAATCTTGATGCTATTGTGAGCACAGTGACTGACACCAAGTTTACTGTAGTAGTTGTTATTGGTCCCAGATGTACTTTCTGGGCCCAGGAGTCATGTCTTATTGCTTTCCCAGGGAGGGAGAATTCTCTTGCCCATCACCAAGTCAGGATGAGATGGTGGTGAGAGATTCTTCACCGGTGGTCATTGTAAGCAATTGTTGGTCTTCTACAATGAACTCAGTCCTATTTCCTTGCTATCTCCCTGCCTACGGCAGATGCAGGGCTTATGAGAGGTATTCTGTCCCCTCAGAAAACCTCAAAATTTAGCAGGCTGGGGAAAATAAGTCATCTATTGAAGGAGCTGAGGTGGAAGGGGCCATGCACCAGGGACTCAGGAATGTCAAGAATGCAATTATCCTTAGGCTGGGCTTAGGGCGTGGCAGGCACTTCAGTTTACCACTGAGCTAGACTGAGTTTGCCCTGGAACCCCACCCTCTGTCTTATTTCCCATTTCTTTGCAACTTCATCAACTATCCCCATTACCAGTTCTTGTAAAAGGCAAAGAGGTCAAAGTCAGTAGAGGTCAGTGGACTGGGATGAGGTTTGGGGAGGTAAAGGTGGAGGGCTCTCTTGAGCTAAGGCTGACCAGACTTGAAAGTCATTCTGTAAATGAACTCCCTGGGGGGATAAATGATTAAATAGTTCCTGTTGGTTTGTGTGCTGACCTCTCATTCCCTCCTGCTTTGATTCTCTTTGGGGGCAAATATTTGTTCAGCTGATTACTGGAGGGACCGGATTGCAGTGCTTCAGACACACCCTCTGAGGCATCTCCTAGTAGAGACTTGGGCCTTTTGCCCACTTTGCATGATTATTGTCTTTGGCCAGTGGTCCTAATACCAGGTGGGTTTTTGCCAGTTATTAACAAAAGGCAATCTGGGAGAGGTGCCTGGTTTGTCTGGCACCAGAGACTTACCAGTCACCCAGTGTTGCACGTGGAAAGAGGTTTTAGACACAGCAGTGCTAGCTAAGTTCGTTAGACAACTGGATTGAAAATCCATTTTCTCTCTCTTTCTTCAAGAATTATCAGAGCCTGTTGGACAACATGCCATATGTTACTTCCTCTTGCTGAAAGTAGGGTTGTGTGCAGAAGAGCCAGTTATGTCTGAACCATTTCTGGTTATGTATTCTCTGAGGCCAGGAGTTAAAGAACATTTGATTCAGAATCCTTTGGGGAGAAGGTGCCTACCCACTTCCCTCTCAATACTATCCTGTTTGAGCTGTTGACAAGCCGCTGCAGTGGCATCTCTGCATAACCTTCTTGGAGGCTATGGCTGGGGGATTCATGAATGTAAGAGTTATGGGTCATTCCATCCTTGGATATATACTCTAAGTTTAGCAACTCTACAGGAAAGGGAAAGGAAATGAGCCTTTATGGAGTACATGTTATATTTGAGACATTGTGTTAGGCCTTTTACTTACTACAACCGAAATTTATTGAGCATCTATTGTGAGGCATGTACTGTGTTAGGTGCTGCCCATAAGCCAGACATGGTACCTTCCCTTATGTATTCCACACAATAACCTTCCAAGGTAAGTAGGTTTATTCCCAGTTCACCTGTGAAGCTCCTGGTAGCCAAGTGACTGGCCCCAGGTGTCCCTCAGCCAGTTAAGTGACAGAATGAGAATTTACCTGTAGGTCATCTTGACTCCAAAGTCTAAACTCTTTCCATCCATATCAGGTTTTCCTAGGAGTAATAAAGTGACCCCAGCACACTAACACAGAAAGCCAGAGATGCTCTTGGGCCATGCTCGCTCGAGTCCGTGATTTTGGCATTGTTCAGGTAGCTGCAGGAAGAACAGGGCCTTTGTTAACAGTTTTGGGCTCCAAAAGGCTTGTAAGTAGCCTCAGATTCTGGTACTGGTAAAACTCAAGTGGGTATCGGGTTTGCCTAGTCATAGTGGGCTTCTTTAATTTTTTTATTGTTAAAATCCTCTCAAGCCCTACCAATATATAAGAATCATATGTATATGGGGAGAAGGTGGCTTGCTCCAGGTATGTCTACTTCATTATGGGTGATGCTCCAAGGACTGGAATTCCAGACTTGTAGCCACACCACCACCTGCCTGGAGTCACCTGGCAAGATGCTGAACCTCTTTGTCTCTTGTCCATCCATCTCTCCCACCTGTAAAATGGGATAATGATAGCTACCTGCCATGGCTTGGCTCTAGTAAAGGATCTAGAACAAAGGCCCTTCCTAGGCCTTAATTGTAGGGTGGAAGCACCCCTTATCATGAATAGACTACCTGACTCAGAAGACTAAACTTAGCCCCAGAGTTTCTGAAGAAATAAAGTCAGCCCTTGAGATACTCACCCAGACTGGTATGTGATGTCACCTTCCCTGAAGGGACAGAGTGTTTCTGGGGCTTTCTGATAGGAATGTGGACGGACAGTTAGTGGCAAGGACCTTGGTGGGCCAGGCCATTTTGGAATTGCTGTCCCTGGGAAACCTCATAATTAGATGGAAACTCCATTGTTGAGAGCAATGAACAGCGTGTAGAGGAGAAAACATAATTTAGCCTTTCCCAGACTTCATGGCTCTGTAGTCTTCTAGTTTCTGTAGGTTTCTTCTTGTCTCTTCTGGCTTCTTTGGCATGAATACATTTAGCTAAAACACCTCAGCGACCTTTGCAGATCTCAGCCAGCTGTTGGCAGTTCTGCGGTTTTCTTGGGGAAACCCCATTAGAAACCCCAAACGTGGAAATTTTTAGTAATCTCATTCAGGTCCCGAAGTGAGATAGAAGTGTCTTAGGGGCTCCCCCTCGAAGCACTCAGTTCTTCTGGATATACATTTGCAGTTGCTCTTAAAATTCTGTCACCATCACAGGGTTTTCCAGACTTCCTAGAACTAATAGCCCAGCAGCCCCACGGAGCCCTTCAGCTTCTGATAGAAAATTACCCAGGTATATTTTCAGGGAACCCCAGCGGAACTCAGAGGTTTTTCTTGACTTTTGTGTAGCTAGTCACCGGATTTGTTTAGGCTGCAGGAAGCAATTGTTAGCTGTCTCTTCTCCAGCAGGTATCTGTCTGTTCTGACGCCAGTGGGCTTGAGCATCCTCTTTTGTGCCCAGCCTCCCTGCTTTTTCCAGCACCCTCAGCCTTTCATCATGGGGCTTTCTTTTAGCAGCTGTGGTTTTGTCTGGTTTAGCATGGATAGGTTTAGGGGTAATTCCCAGAGAGCTGCTCTTCTACAGAAACATAATCTGCTACTACCTTAATTAGTAGGGCCCTGTCCCCACCCCCAACCTCCAACCTAATTCCATGGAGTCCTTCCTGAGGACTTCCTCTCTTTTCTTTGAAGGAGTCATTCTGCTCCTGGATCCACTTCTCTTCTCCTTCAGCTGACAGTCTGTCTTCTCCGTTCCCAGTTGGCAGACTTGAGTCACACAATTCCACTGGGTCTTTTTGTTTAGCCTGGGGAAGAGAAGACCCAGGAGAATATGATCACCAGTTTTCAAATATCTGAAAGAAGAGGGGCTAAGCCTTTTTTATTGCTATAGTACCCCGCAGAACTTGGATAAATGAGAGGAAAATAATAGTGGTAGAGTTTAAATTAGTAGAAAGAAGACATTTCTAAAACCACCATATCTCTAACAGGTTTGGGAGCTTTCTGAGGATCCTTGTCTGTACTTGTTTGTCCATACTGATTTCCTCAGCACTGAGCAGAGGTCTTGAACATAACACGTACCTGAACGCAGGAGATGCCCACTAAAGTTCTGAAGAAGCAGACACTTATCAAACCAGAATAATAGTAATGGGAATTCCCCTTTAATTACTTAATCATCTAAATTGATTCGAACGGTATTTATTGAACTCCTACTATGTGCCATACTGTCCTAGGTACTAGGGGTACAACATTAAATAAAACTAATTTTCTGTTCTTGTGGAGCTCACATTCCAGTGGGGAGAGACAGACAATAAACACGTACTGCATATATATGTATACGTAGATATAGATATAGAAA